GTTGACTACCGATATACTATGTACTAATATGTTTCTACCGTGAAGCAGTTGTGTTTGCATGGTTGTGTTTCGGTTTGAAAGGTGAGATATGGCGTGAATTTACTGGGTACAGTGGAATAACACCTGAGTCCTTAGGAATGGCAACGCATGGAGGGGTATCATGGGCGAAACAGTATACTCTGTTATGTCCATGGTACTGCTCATGTCTATAGGCTATATATAGGACCGTCAGCTTGTTTGCCATTCTAAATTGTATAAAAAAAATTTTTAAAGTTAGTAAAAAATTTAAGAGATTAGTCAACCGGTTGCAAGGAGAACTTCTAAAGTCATATAACACAATGTCTGGCTTATTAAATTTTATATTACCCTGTTAAGTTACGCTTATAACTAATCCACTGTTATATTCTGCAAGGTTAAAGCTACAATGAGATCATTTTACATAAGTAGTTGCCCAAGTCTCTATCTATATTATCTATTAGCATCTGTTTAGTCTTATTGTAGTTAGTTTTTTTTTATTTAAATTGTAATTTTGTCTATTCGTTATAGCGTCATAGTTACTTATTTATTTCATATCTCACTCTTAGACAGGTACCTATAGACGAGACGAAAGTTTAGAGAAAAAAAAAATTGAAATGTGTTTTTATTGAGAAACCCTTTATAGTTTTAATTTTATTTTTAAGAGAGAAAGAGAAGTCCATAGATTTTATTATATATAGCTTTTTAACCAATTACTGATTTTATTTCTTTCGATAGTTTTTACTAACGATATTAAATTAGTATATCTTCACTTCCTTACTAATATTTAAATGTGAAAGTGTGTTTGTGTGTTAATTTTTAACGGATTAATCAATCAATATGAAATTTGGTACATATATACACTATAAGGAATGGAGAAGGACATAAGTTAGTTTTTATCCCGGTCATGTGGACGAAGTAGTGGGATAAGGCTAGTATGCTATTAGTATAAATATATGCAATATTCATTATGATTACAACTTTATTCTAAACCTAAATAATAAAGGTATAAAAAGGTAAGTATAAAATAGATTACCAGAGGAAGACTTTGTACAAAAGTCATTTGCTTGGGCACCTCTTTCCTATTCGTGTTTGTATCGTGAACCAGTTATTGTTGCATGGCTGTGTTTCGGTTTGAAGGGTGCTATATGGCAGTGAATTTACAGGGTACAAAGGAATAACACTTGAGTTCTCAAGAATGGCAACGTGTGGGTGAAACAGTATACTCTGTTATGTCCATAGTACTGCTCATGTCTATAGACAACGGTTACCACTTTCCATCAGATGGGCCGTCAGCTTGTTTGTTAAAAAAAGGTTAATTTATTTTTTTGTGTAATGCATAATAGCCACTATTGCCCTTAAACACTTTCTGTTTTCACCTAATGGTTAGCTAGTAGAGAATGCCATACGGCATTTAGCTCACCATTTGTACAATTTTTATTATGCAATAAAGAATAAATAAATAAACATCATAAAAAATACATAAGTCTATAATATATAGAGGCCTTCAATTTTGATACACAGTTACTCGACTCTGATACCTTATTGCCTCGCTCAATTGCTGTGTTTTGATTTGGTACGCCATCGCCAGTAGAATGGCACGACACTGACATTCTGTAACCTGCGCATGCGCCACTCGGTAAATGCCAATGCATTTTACAATAGAAATATAAGTAGGTGTTGCATACATGTAGGTATATATGTGGTACTTACTTATGTATATAACAAAGGTAAGATATTACCTTTTATAATATATTAGCTGTTTTCCATTACGAACCTCTATATTTCAACAACTTCAGCTGTGCTTAATTCTGTACATCAGTTTATTTTTTTTATGTGATGAATTCCAGAATAGACTTGTATCTGAAATCGAAACTTCACTCGATCAAGTTTCAATCTGGGGTGAACACAATCTTGTTCAATTCAACCCTAAGAAGACACAAGTCTGCGCGTTTACCGCAAAAAAGACGCCGTTTGTCGTCAGTTTTAAAGCACTCCTCTTGATAATAGGTCGAGTCTATGGATCCTTAGCGTTGACATATTCAGCGCCGTCTAGTTTTGCGACCCATACCATATCAGCTATTAACTGTCCACTGTTGAACATAGGCCTCCGCAAAAAGATTTTGGCCACTAGTTGCTACGCTTGGCATGTTGGTTGACTTGACAGCCCCAGTTAGGTTTTGGTAATGTTTTAAGAGGGATGCTGCTGCCCATTCCTCGATTATTAAATTCCCTTAGTCACCTCTTACGACACCTACAGAAAAGAAAGTAAAATTATAACCCTCTTAAAAAAACATTAAACATTTGACAAACCAATTTTAGCTCTTGAATTTTTTCTTTTTTATTTATGATAATTTTTCAATTTCAAAAAAGGAACTGACAAAGAATAGATTTCGTTTTAAGTGGAATTATTCTTTATCTAATTGTAATGTTTATTTATGCACTGAGGTAAAACTGAAAATATTATGGTGATGCAATCTCTAGTGGGATAGAGACATTTGTTTAATATTACCGTTGTGGAGAACACAACACTCCATATTGGTATTGTAAAGAATGTTATTTCTCTGAACTCAAAACTACTTAATCTAAAAATTCTTTTACCTATAAAAAACCATATTATCGTTTTTTAATGGATGATAATGGAATGGTAACCCTGTCTGTGCTAATGGTATACGCTGGCGGGCATCAGTAAGGGATTATAGGTGAGGATGAAAGAGCAGGTCAGATTGCTCATCGTGATGAATACGACGGTTTCCAGGGTATATTGCTAGCAGTGGGATTGGTAGTCCGCATTATAAACAATTCCTTCCCCCTCTACCATTGGCTATATATTACTTTTCGGAAATTCTATTTACCCGTGCGAAGTCGGGCCGAATCGCTAGTATTCAGAATAATAGTAATTAATTGGAGGCACGCACGAACCGTTTCAATTATTTTTATCATCAATGAAATTACTTCACCAGACAAGTTACTTCCACCATCCATTATAAACACAGCCGGTGTACGTTCCGCTGGTTAGCATAATAACTCGTAATTACTAGGAACAAGTGACGGAAAGTGGCGAAAGCACGGAAAATGCCTATTGACTGTAACTGTATCAAGCGTGGCGGTTAGACTGTGATCTAGTTAATGACGGATAGCGGAGAATGTTTTATCTATCTTCATAGATACCTAGATAGAGTTCCTTATAGAATAGGCAGAGTGCCAAAAATCTGTCGTTCCTTATTCTTTAGACACTTTTAGAATAAAATATAGGATGAAATAGATATTATAAGCATCTTTTAAGGCAGTTTTTTTTAACCCTTAATCAGACACAGTGCGATTTATCGACCACCTAGGTAATTGGAGTTTTATAGTGATCTTTGTCTTTTTTTTAATTCATAGAACCTTTATTTGATTACCAATATTTATATCTTTCGTATGAAGCTAAACATTTTTTTACTAAACAATTCATTTTGGGAAAAATCATTATTTTAAGAAAGTGATCCATTATATATCCTATACTCGTCTGGCGGTAGTTATGATATGGACACTGTTTCCATTATATAAGAGATGATTTTGAAATAAAAATATAATTGTGAATTATTTGGGTTTTTATGACAAAAATAACATTCTACTTTTTTTTTTAACAAAAATAACATTCTACTTTTTTTTTAACAAAAATAACATTCTTCTAGTAGCTTAAAAAATTAATTTAATAGGGGGAAAAAAATAATAAACGACAAATTATAAAACAACAGAGAGCTCCTTAACAGGCATAGTGCATAATATGTCCACTTTTTTGTTGTCTTAATTTTAATATTTTTTAAGTAACAGATCTTAGGTATACATTGTACAGGTAAAAATTAAGAACACACCATATTTAAAAATATGCTTTAATACCAGTGCACATGGGGCCTGATTATGGGTTAATCTGAAGATTTTACTAAAAGAAAAATTAATAAAAACACGACAAGAAATTGTAAGCCTCCATGATAACAGCAAGTCTATTTAATTAGTATGGGAAATTATTTAAATTATGCATCGTATTTGCTCGACGGTTCAAGAGTCTCTTAACTCCTTGTAAGTGGAGTACCTATCTATTTTACTTTAGTTAAAGGAAATTATCTCTCTGTTGCTTGGTAGATTAAAAACCACACCTATAATCCATTTTAAGTAAATGCACACATAGTTAAGAGGGTTATAACTTTCTTATACAACATTAACGGTCTCGTTGGGTTGGCGCGTGATCATTGTTTTGATGTTAGAGTACATTTTATTTTATTTATGAAGATGGAATGTGTGTGCTATAGGTATACGCTAGCTGGGTATCAATGAAGAATGATAGATAATGGTGTAATCTGACGTCAATCGTCATGATGCCGTCAACTGACTCGGATCACTATGTGTATTGCTAGCAAATAGGCCATCTCATACCATTATTAACAACTTTCTCTCTCTCTCTCTTTCTCCCTCTATCTCTCCCTCTCTCTCCCTCTCCCTCCCTTCCTCCCTCCCTCCTTCCTACCTATCTGTATTATATTGTTATACTTTCTTGAACGTAATATCATCACTCAACACAAACCGCTAAATGTAGATTTGAAATGTTTAATAAGGGTATATTCTATATAGAAATTAACCTTTTAGGGGCTTTTACAGCCGGTGTACGGAAATTTGTATTTACCAACTAGAATGAAAATTTTTCTGGTGGAAAATGGTTGTTATTTATTTATTTATTTTTTATTTTATTTTTTTTATTTATTTACACTTTATTGCACCAAGTGAAAAGAGAAATAACAAATTGTTGTTATTGAAGTCATAGTCTAATAAGTGGATCACCAATTTTTTATTGAACATTCTTCAGTGGATAATATGGCGTAGACGATGCGTGTAAATGCTTGCCGTGAATTCTTCAGTTACTTGATTGGTTTGTTCCGTTTTACACACACAGCTAGTGGATATCGGTGCAGCGGTTACTTCGTTATCAGTATTCATTCGATTAATGATAATGTGCAAGTGAACGATAATGTTTAAATAGATAATCGATTCTATAGTAATGGATTATCATAGCAAGATAAGTAGTAGTGTCGGTGTTGAGGTTATAAAAAAAAAATATTAAAACTTCGTGAATCCCATATGATAATTATAGCGAGCTAAATATAGTATAATTTCGTAATACAACAAACTCCCGATGTTTTACATGAATCAGTCGACGTTAACCGGGGAACGGGTGATAAGGATGTGAATGTTGTGATAAGTGAATAAGCATTAGTGAAGGATATACTTTGTATGAATTTGTTTAAACCATTTTATTCGGATTTCCAGTGTTAGTGGAATTAATTATGATCAATTAAAGCCAAAATAGTGAGTTTAATAATAAAATTTGTTTTACCACCTGTATAGCAGTTGTGTAACAAAAAATTTGGAATTTTTTGCTTTCAAAGTAATTACAATACTTGTAATCGTATGTAAAAGTATTTGATAAGAAGAAGAATGAATTTGTGAATTCTAAATTAGTCTACAGTGCCGTTCAGTTTCGTTTGACTTGGTCTTTCCAATAGCCTTTGTGCATTTAAATTCCTTAAAGATAACTCAAGGTAAGGTACTATGTAATTAAATATAATGTGATGCTGTAGTGATGCTGGTACTAAACTGTTTTACGCGCTCGTTTGCTGACAATTTTAGAGGTCTTTGCGTGATGATGAGTTCAGATTTTTTTATGCAACTTAGAATAGCAAACAAGCTGACGGCCCATCTGATAGAAAATGGTAACCGTTGCCTATAGACATGAGCAGTACCATGGACATAACAGAGTATACTGTTTCACCCATCGTATCCCTCATGCGGTATCTGATACTATCGTAGCCCATTTTAAAAGAAGTTTGGAATATCATTGATACCTATGGAGTTGTTTTTGTGTAAAGACGTTCTGTCTAAAGCGTTTGGCCTGTATATTAAACTCGAGTTGACCATAAACAACGCAGCATGATTAATAATCTTCCACGACCATTTTACGGTGTTTACCTACAACAGATTATCATGGTTATGAAAGTAGCTACATATTAAAGATATCTAGCTGCTCCATGATATCATGTTATCCAATGATAAAAAATCGTCATGACTCAGATGTGAATGCAGTTAGTTCAAGGCGGCAATTACCATTTCTAGTACACGGGCTGTCCACCAATTATAGTAGTACTAAAATATTGCTAATTAATATTTGGTTTTCCAATAAAATGTACGTTAATACTGACAAAATTAAATATGGAACGTATGTTTGTTTTTGACTTTGTATAATTGTATAATCTTTTTTTGGAGATGACCACAAATGATTGAAACAGTTCTTATTTTAAATAATGCGATTATTTACGAACCATATTGTTATTTGTTATTTTTCTTGTTTCTGAATATTTTTTTAAAATTTAGATAACCTTTCTATATAGGTAGTAAATCTTTTTAAATAAAATTAATAGATAAGTGCATAACTTGAAAACGATTAGAACAGTTTGGCTACTTTTTCCTCAAATAATTGATTTCTTTAAATGTTTTTTATGAAGAGAAAATTAAAAAAAAATTGTACGGAAAAATGTAAAATTCCCATTTTCCTTTGCTACCAATTCACAAACATTTTAATAAAAACATTGATGTTAAACACATTGCTTTTGACAGTATGACGTCTGTCGAGAGAGCCAGTATATAAAATAAGTTTTGTTCACAGTGATGTCTACGAGGTAGCTGGTCGGCTCGCGCAGCAATGCCGCTGCCGAAGCGTTGCGTAGAGCCGGTGCACGTGTCGCGAGGCACGGTACCCGAGCGGCTCGCGGTACCCTCCGAGCTAGAGGCTGTCACCAATGGAACACTCGCCAACACTGTCCGGTACAGTACCATGGTTTTTACACGTTCTCTTCGCTCCATAGAATTTTAAGATAAAATTGAAGTAGTAACTCCTTTATATTCCTTTACATTAGGTGAAGTGAATCCAAGCGCGAACTTATCTACACTAATATTATAAAGAGGAACATTTGATTTTTTTATATGTTTGTTTGGTTGGAATGGATAAACTCAAAAACTACTTAATTAACTATAAAAATTCTTCCACCTATAGAAAGCCACATTACCAGCGAGTAACATAAGCATATATAATATTAAAAAAATAACTATAAAACCCTATAAAAATTACAATAATGTAACTCAAAGTACAAATTTGCCTATTAAAATTAATATAAAAATACAAATTTTTCTTCCATCTATACGTGCGAAGCTGGGGCGGCTTGCTGGTCATTAAATAAAAAAGAAAACATTCTATTAATTGTATTCAGTAGCATATTACATTTCTATTATCACTTTTGATGTACCGTTTATTTCTAGTTTTCCTTATTTCTGGTTTCGTTCCCTCAATCGTCTCTTACGACGTTTTAGACATGAAAAGGTGGCACATTGTTTCCTTATTCACATTAATACATGGATTTAGGTTAATTATATAATGTTATAGTTTAATATAAAAACATTAATCATTTTATATGACACCTAGTTATAACAATTATATATATAAATTGCAGACAGCTCTCTTCACTATCGAAACATGCAGAAGATATGTTCGGTGAGCTGACTCGTGAGGCCACAGGTTTGGCGGAAAGGACCAATGTACTGCAAGCCCGGATAGACAGGCTGGCCATAAAGGTCACGCAGCTGGACTCTGGCGTTGAGGAAGGTACACCATAGACACTTTATATTTGTAATTGATCTTGTTTCGTTATTAAAACTAAGGATTTATTACTATTAGTAATATGACTAAGATTTACTAGGCCGCCTTCCTTCAACATGTCAACCTCTAACGTGGTTTAATATACCTGAAGAATTGCTGTTAACACACAATACATTATATCAAAAAATACTGCTTCCCTAGAAAAAGTATAAGCGAATCAGTTGATAGAATCGTTATCGCTAGTTATTCAATGAGATAGAATGAGATGGCGACATGCGCTGCCTTGTACTTTCTCATGTGAGCGCTAAACAAAGCGATTCTATTGTTAGATTTGTTAGATAGAATGAGATGGTAACATGCGCTGCCTTGTTCTTTCTTATGTGAGCGCTGATTGAAGCGATTCTATTGTTAAATTCGTTAGATACAACATGCATGCACGTGTGAGTCTTTTAATGATATATAGATTAAAGTTTTAATAATAGATAAAATTGTTCGAGTGAAAGCGGTAGGAGTCCTCTGCCAAAAATTGATTATAATATTACGCTTGGCGAAATGTAGACATGTCGAGTGTAACGAATACCTCAACGATAATAGTCGACAAATATCTCTTATCATTTGGGATTACGCTAGTGAGCATATTAATTTTTTTATTAACTCTTTTTTTTTTTCAGTATCTCTTCAAGATATCCAGATGCGCAAAGCATTCCGCTCTTCCCGGACGTTCCAACAGCAGCTGTTCTCACGGAGCACGATGCCGTCGGCGATGCTGGCGACGTACGCGCGGTGCGACCGCCCGCCGCCGCTCGAGCGGCTCAACGAGTTCCGGGACGACGGTCGCGACGCCAGGAAATTCTACACGGATCCTGATTATTTCTTCGAGCTGTGGCGTAGGGAGATGCTGCAGGACACTGAGCGTATACAGCACGGGAAGAAGGTGAGGAACAATGTTCTCTTTATGATAACTTTATTCGATTAACGATTAAGCTTATGTTTATTTATGTAAGATTATTCGTAAATTGCTATAAGGCTCAGACTTTTGGCATCTGTGAAAATTGATAGGTTTTACACAAGGAAAAAAGTATAATATGAAAGAAAAATATATCAGTAAATGATGTATGAATTTGGCATCTGTTAAAATTAGTGATTTATATATTTTTCGCTGTACGTGATTCTTTTATTGAACAACTGAACAGATGCATTTGTAGCCTGTCAAAATTGCAACTCCAACACGGTATAAATTGTTGTGATGGTGACCCTCATGTTTGGACCACATTACTTGCTTAGTTAAGTTGATATTTGTCGAAACGGTGACTATTACAGTAGTAATGGCACGCTGCGTCGTCTAGTTGGGAATAGTAGCATAGCGGGATAGCACACACGGGGCATGAGTAGAGCTGCGGTGTAGGGGTGAAGCGTGGTTAATGTAGGTGCGCGTGCGCAGGTGCGGCCGGCGCGAGGCGGCGCGGACGGGCGCGCGGGGCGGCGCGTGCGGGCGCCGCACTCGACGCGCGAGAAGCAGAAGGCGGCCGCCGTGACGCGCGGCGAGCACATCATGGCGCCCAGCCAGCTGCGCCACTACAACATCGAGCCCGCGCCCGCGCCCGCGCCGCAGCCCGCCGCGCTCTACCGCGCCGACTCCCTCTACCAGCGTGAGTACACTGCACTGCACTGCACTGCACTACACTGCACTACACTACACTGCACTGCACTGCACTACACTATATTACACTACACTGCATTACACTATATTACACTACACTGCATTACACTACACTGCATTACACTACATTACACTACATTACACTACACTGCATTACACTACACTGCATTACACTACACTGCACTGCACTACACTACCACGGTTACCACTTTCCATCAGGTGGGCCCTCAGCTTGTTTGCCATTCTAAGTTGTATAAAAAAAAAGTCGAGTATGCGCCCGCCACTCCTCCGCCTTCTACCATGCCGATTATTTCCAGTCAGAAATCTCTGCACTGTACTACTGTACTGACGGACTGTAGTAATAACACATGGAAATTTTGTGTGTTCTAAATTTTAAATTAATATTCTTCTTTCAATTTATACATCTCAAACTTTTTTTTTCTTTTTCATTTGAACTCTTTATTGTATACAATAAAACCTTTAATTGCATACATCATGTATCTGTAAATAACGTATTCACCTATTAATTTGTTTTAACGTTTCAGCAACCTCAGTTCCAGACGGAGGTTACAGGGTGTCACAGAATCGTCAGTCATCGAACCAGCCCGCGAGACCTAACTCGATCGAGATAGAGAATCAGCAGAACAGACAACCTAGAATCACAGGAAATGGGCATGGTAAATAAATTCCTAATACCTCTATTTATTTATAAACGAATCCGAAAATAGACAATCAATATAATAATTATCTATAAAGTTACCACGGCTGACTTAATATTTAAAAAATTTTTTGGCCAATATTTCTTTGGGGAAAAAAGACTATTTTCTCTGTGGAATGCTTGTGGAGATTTTGTTTTCCAACTATAGATAAATGTAAAAATTGGTCTTCAATTGTACATTGTAGTTTTTTAGTATACAGCAATGATATCCTTCTTGATTATTAGTAAAAATGTAGTGAAGCCAGTGTCCATAAAATTATAAATATGAAATGGCCAAAGGAAACCGAACTAAAACCTTTTAATTTCTTTTTATTTGTGAACTTAACATTGCAGTGTACTTATTTTAAATTGATGGGAATGTAATGGTAACCCCGCCTGCGCTATTGGTATACGCTGGCGGGGCACTAGTGATGAATGATAGGTGAGGATGAAAGCAAGTTAGTTAGCCCATTGTGATCAATTTTCCAAAAATTAATCATGATGGTTTCCAGAGGGGAACCGCGTGGAGGTCGAGCCGATAGGGTTTTTCTAATGGATGATAATGTAATGGAAACTGCGCCTGCGCTAATGATATACGCCGTGCGGGGCGTCAGTTAGGGATGATAGGTGAGGAATGAAAGTCCGTTAGCCCATTGTGATGAATACATTTGGAATTCAGCACGATGGTTTCCAGGCGAGATCACGGCAGTCGACTTGCCAGGACATTTGCTAGTAATGGAACTGGCATTCCGCATTATTAACCATCCCTTCCTCCCGAGCCGATAGGATATATCGGTAGCAACAGTGGTTAGAGCCCATTACTAAGAATAATTTTCCCGTGTGGCAGTGTTCTCGCCGGTGATGTCGGAGGAGAGCCCGTACGGGCCGGCGGAGCCGATCTACGGCAACAGCGGCGCGGGCACGCCGCGGCGGCCGCGGCCGTCCGTGCCGCCGCCCGCGCCGCCCGCGCCCGCCGCGCCGCCCGCCGACGCGCCGCCCGCCCACACGCCCACCAGGTCCAAAATCTTAACTATTTTTTTTTATGCAACTCAGAATGCCAAACATGCTGACCGCCCACCAGATGGAAGTTAGTAACCGTCGCCGATACACATATGCAGTACCATGGAAATAACAGTGTATACTGTTTCGCCTATGATATCTCCCATGTGTTGCCATTCCTGAGGACTCAGGTGTTATTCCCCTGTACTCTGTAAGTTCACTGCCATATCCCACCCTTCAAAGTGAAACAGCTATGCAAACACAACTGCTTCACGGTTGAAAACTTTAAGTTTAGTTTAATTAGTTAAAAGTGTATTTTATATTAACTATTGTGTAGTAATATTAAATATATATACGAGGTTTGTCCGGAGTATAAAAGTTTTTAAAAATTTTATTTTACAATTATTCAGGTAAATCAATTTTATCCCCTTCAAAGTACTCCCCCTGTGACATAATGCACTTGTGCCAACGCCGTTTCCACTGTGAGAAGGCTCCTTGAAAGTCCTCTGGTTGTAGGTTTCTCATGCCCCATAAAATCTCATTTATGTCCCCCATGTCCATAACAAGGTCACACGGGGCCAAATCCGGCGAATACCATATCAAAAACTATATATATAATGTTATAAATGACGTGAAAGAGAGTCGGAATGTGAAGTGGAAGGACGTTGTTTGTTCTCTGAATCTTTTAGCCACTTGTGGACGGTTGGTTCCTTCATCATCCCCATAAACTGTTCTGAGATCCTTTCAATTCTTGCCGAGTTTCAGAAACTGAAACGCGCTGCTCTTCAACGGAAGCGGGCTCCATTTTTTATACAACAAGCCAGTAGAATGGCAAACATAAGGAAGGGGTCAAGCCAGAACACTTTTATACGAGTTTCCGGACAGACCTCGTATAATGTTATAAATGTGAAAGAGAGCTTGTTTGTTTGTTACCTTATAGTGCCTTTACTGGTCACTGAAATTTGATATTTTTTTTTTACAGAATGGCAAACAAGCAGTACCATCGAAAGTGGTAACCATGGGACATAACAGACCATGGACATAACAGAGTATACTGTTTCGCCTATGATACCCCCCCTGCATTGCCATTCCTAAGGATTCAGGTGTTATTCCTCTGTACCCAGTAAATACACGCCATATCCCACCCTTCAAACCGAAACACAGCTATACAAACACAACTGCTTCACGATTGAAACAGGAATGGGACAGAGGTACCCAAGCAATCGACTTTTGTACAAAGTCTCCCTCTGGTTATTTGGAATCACATATTATATGAGATAAAGAGGAATGTAAGTTATTGATTAACAGTGGAGCCTTGTTGAATTGTTATAGAATGGTCTAGGGATTGATAATGATGAAGTAACATGTTGCATGGTACGTATGGCAGGTGCACGCTGCCGCCGCCGCCGCCGCCGCCGGACGGCGCGCCGCTGTCGCCGCCGCCGCTCGTGAACGGCGCCTCGCCGCCGCACCACCAGCACCGCTCCGCGCTCGACGCGCACCTCGACCACATGCACGCCGTCATCGGTACTTATACTACCAACATCATATACACTGGTGCTCATATAATTAGAAACTACCAGTAGTCCTTGACATTATCTGAGATACTTCACTGCAATCGTTTCGTTTTTGTTTCGATATTAAACAATAAATAGGACAACAATATGTTCCACGATTTATCAGTTATTAGAAAAACAATATAAATCCCACTACACAAGTGCAGTTTTAATATTACGTTATGGACAAACATTTCAATCAGTTTTAAGGTGTGAACAATAATGGTGGACTAATTAGAAACAACAACAAAAAAGTATAAAAAACTTTTTTTTTTTTTAAGAATTAGTAATTAGTATTGTTATTTACGAAATAGCTACTATTCACAGCCTACCAATAGTTATAATTAATATTTAGTGGCGTATACCTTAATTTCAATACAGCACTACAACATTGTGGCATTGATTCAATCAATTTCATACATTTTTGTTTTTTTTTTTTACAACACAGGGGGCAAACGAGCATGCGGCTCACCTGATGGTAAGTGACTACCGCCGCCCATGGTCACCCACAACACCTACGGCATTGCAGGTGTGCTGCCGGCCTTTTAAAAAGGAATATACTCTTTTCTTGAAGGTTATGTTGTCGTATCGGTTCGGAAATATTGCTGGTGGAAGTTGATTCCAAAGAGTGGTTGTGCGTGGGAGAAAGTGCCTTGAAAAACGCTAGTTTTCTAGGGAGATTGAATTTCATGCTTCAACAAATGCTTTATATAGTTTATTTTGACGGATATTTGTTTGAAACTTTTTTTTTAACAATATACCAAAGATTATTAATTATAATTAATAATCATTCAATAATTATTGTTCAACAATCATTCAAAAATTATTGAATGTGTATATTTTTTACGGACATTTGTACTTTTAAGTTATACTTTTTATTTATTTTTTTCTTATGAATAAAGAAATGTTTCTAGTTATATGACCACCACTGTATATCTATATATAGCAAAGACTGTTAAACATTTCTCAAAAAATTGCCATTATAATATGTATCAGCTAAGATGCTTTTTATCAGGTAATAACGGAATTACGGGTTGATATCCACCTCATGATATCATCAGGTTCATATTTATATGCGACGGCTGCCACTTTCTATTAAGTGGGTCGTTAGCTTGTTTGACATTCTAATTTCCAAAAAAAATTAAATAAATGAAAGGAAATTTTTTTTTTTCAATATTTGTTTACTTCGGCACCTATTCGATAAATAGATCGAGGATCGATAAATTTAACATACTAGTCTTCTATTTATCTCTAATTTTGATGAATTACTTTGTCATATATTTTGTTTAATTGTCCCAATTAAATATGAAATTGAACTTAACGTCATTTAGAATAAGGTTAATTTTGAATGTGAACATCACTAGGCATGATGTCGGAGGAGCCGGGCACGTGCTCGCCACCGCCGCCGCCGCCGGCGCCGCCCGCCCCGCCCGCGCCGCCCTCGCCGCCGGCGGCGGGCCCGGGCGCGGACGACCGCCCGCGGCCGCCGTCGCCCGGCGCGCTGGCTCGGGGCGCCTCGGCCCTGAAACCACCACGGCCGCCCGCCGAGCCGCAGCCCGACCCGCGCTCCGATCTTCTCAAGGCTATCCGCGACGGTAACTATAGTACACACACAAATAATACGTAACATGTACGATAAACAATTAGAACTTCTCCCGGTACATTGTGTGCTTATAAGGATATTCTAGTCATAATTCACTAAGTTAGTGGTGTATGATCACTATATATACATCATTACTATGTACTACATATATAAATTGTTGTGTCCATTGCCGTACAGTTTACAGTCAGTCACTATTTGTATAGTCATAAACTTAAAAATTTTGTATATTGACATAAAAGTAAAAAAAAAAAAAAAGTTTTTATATAACTTTACAAGATTCATTTAGTCTATACAGAGTTAACTATTACATAATGTTAAATAATATATAGTACTCATATTACACTGTAATTGTGTAATTTACAATTTTGGATGTTAAAACGTGTTTACAATTTGGTGTAGTCGATAAATAAAAATTGATTAAAAGTCGTTTATCGCAGGCATAAAACTACGCAAGGTGGAGAAACGGTGCGACGAGAACACGGGGCGGTACGACACGCTGCGCAGCGCGCCGGCGCTGCACGACGTGGCGTCGATCCTGGCGCGGCGCGTGGCCGTCGAGCTCAGCGACACCAGCTCCGGCGCAGACTCCGACTCCGACGACTCCGAGCAGTGGACCGAGAGCCGCGCGTGACGCCGCGCCGACCCGCCGCCCGCCTCCCAGCCGCCGCAGCCGCCCCACCCGCCCCAGCCGCCCCACCCGCCGCCGCCGCACGCCGACGCCCGCGGCGAGCCCGTCGCCATCACCATCAACCGCGCCAAGCTCGACGCGGACCGCTCCACCCCTCGCGATCACAAGCCGGAAACCGACGAGCCCGCTCCGCGCCTCGACTCTGACAACACGGACGATCAGTGCTATGTGAGGAACTCCTCGTTTCTAAGTCGCGACATCGAGGCGCAGAAGACGAAAGTGGAGTGTCAGGCTATGAAGAAAGTCAAATCCGGATCTCCATTAGTTAGAGTCGCGTCCCCGACCAGGAAGGTCCTCTCGCCGCCTACGAAGGTGCCGTCCCCGCCTCTCAAAGAGGTTCTCCCGAGTAGGGGCGAAGGAACTCCGCCCCGAAACGTCGCGTCGCCGCCGATGCGGGCCGTCGCGTCCCCACCGACGAGGGACCTAGTCTCGCCACCAAATCGGGAGTGTTCTTCCCCGCCGAAAACGGACGACCCTTCCAAGAGAGAGCCCCCACCGTCCCAGAAGGATATCGCGTCGCCCCCGGCCTCTTCTACGAAATTGAACAAAACCGATTCGAAGGGCGAAGATAGCGCAATGCCCAGAATTGTCAGAAGAGACTCGTTCGTTAAGGAGGCCATTCTTAAAACTGAGAAGCTGTCCTTGATCACAAATAATTCGATCGATAAAACATCTGACAAGGGGAGTGTTACCGAAAATAATAAAAATGGAGTGGAGGGCAAAGATAAAAGCGCCAAAGGTGAGGAGTCCAATGGAGTTGGAGATAAAATTAAGAAGTTCGAGAAAGCGGCCGAAGATGCTAATGTTAGTGGGACGCGGACGTTGCGGGGCGGGTCGGGCCGAGGGCGGGCGTTGTGCGAGCGGCTCTCCGGGGACGAGTTGCCGCCGCCCGCTACGCCCTTCAAGGACAACGTGCACTTCGACCTCGGGCCCGCCGTCGCCCCCGTCGCTCCCGTGACCACTGTCTCCGCTCCACCCGACAGGGGTGCTTCGCTACCTGAACGACAACAGAGCGCATCGAAAAATAATTCACCCAACTCTGCGACCGTCAGGTGGCAGAGGAGCGATAGCGCCGCCGGCGAGCCCGAGTGGGTCAGGCCGGAGCCGCAGAAAATAGTGAAGCCCGAGTTCAAGCCGATGCCATCGCAAGTTGATGTCACGATCCGGTCGCCGAGCCTTGGCTCGAAAATCGGCGACCAGTTCCCGTCGCACGGGACGGCATTCCGGAACGTTGCGTCACCGGACCTGGCCCGGTCGAGCGTTCATAAGTTCGACGACGATGTAAATACTCAAAATAATTTTAAGGCGTGTAAATTGAAAAACAAGGAGAAGTACTCTGTCAGCAAGGGTTCGAGCTACTTCACCCGCGGCTCCGAGGAGATATGGCTAGTGAAGAAGAAGGACATAGAGGAGATAGAGGAGAGGGTGCTCGACTCGTTTCGTCGGGCCGGTGGAAATATCTGTATGAGGAGTGAATCGACCCGGGCGTCATCGGAGGGCGGTGCCGCGTTTCCGCACGGCACGACGGGTCGTGGCAAGCGGCAGGCGTACACCCGCAGCGAGTCGCTGGACCCGGGCCGGGCGGCGCGTGCGCACACCCTGAAGCGGCAGTCGTCGGTAGCGTGTACCTGTGGACACGACAAGAAGACTCGTGCAAAGTCCGCTACAGAAGCACCGCGCCCGCGCTCACGCTCGCACGGCGACGACGCGCAAACGCACGTGCTCGATAAGTACGAGACACTTGTCTAGAGCTACTACCACTATACCCGTACCACCCTCTCCATTATGGGATGTCACCTTTTGCCGCTGTGGCCGCTTGAGCGCTCCAATTACGAGATGCTCTTTTAATGTCACGACCAAAATGCATTGTACCCTTATCTGATGCTGCTGCGGTTACATAACTTCGCAAGTAGAAGATGCTCGTCTAATTGCCACTTCAACTGCAAGAGTATTACAAATATGAGAAGCTGGTCTAGTATACTACCATTGAGGTGAGTTTGACAGCACAAATGCTCGTGTACTTTGGCTCTGGTTAATTAGTCTAGTTGTTATCTCCTACGATATGATTGTGCTACTGAGAAAGGTGTGGCTCAACTTTCGTCCGGTTTAGGAATGCTGGATTTTGTGCTCGATAACAACGATCTACATTCCCGTTTCGTCTTGTGAAGTAACCTTAATCTTAATCGCATTATTCCGTGCACGATAAATTGTGATGGTAATATGTAAGTCTGTCTCGGCCTGCAAGATTTTTCAAGTGATAAAATGTCGATCACTTTAGAGATTAGATCCTACGAGAGTGCAGGTCGCAGGTTCGTATTGTAGGTATAACTTGGTGCAGTGCATGGAATATTGATTATATTTATGTATTTGAATATATTATTCACATAATCAGTGTGGTTTATAATGGATCGGTAATATAATGTATGTACCCATTGTATGAAGTTTATTGGCTAGTCTTATGAAGAAGGTATATGGACTCATTTCTTAAACCAAAAATAAACACATTACGTGGTAGCAATGAGAAGTGATTAGACATAGTATAAAATATCTTCTACTCCCTTTTTTTAAACTTCAGAAATGGCTAAAATTGTATGTGGTATATAAATGTTCTTATTTGATCATGGATTTACTTTCAATTTGCCTCGACTTCTTAGGAGTCAATTACATACTATCGTTAAACTAAGCCATTCTCTAGATAGGTAGTGAACCCACCTGAGCACAACATATTTTATTTAATGGTGCTTCGCTTGTTGAATTCGATTTTCACAAAAAAATAATCTTTTTTTTTATAGCGGTTGTGAAGTTTTTGAATGTTTATGGTTTATCTTTATAACGGCTGAGGCAACACTATCATTTTGCAGTTTTTGTATTTACTAGTCATCTCTAGAAATTTGTCATGTAATTTTGATGACTTCTGAGATAATTTACACTTGTAGTGTTCCATTGGAATAATAATTATCCATTTATTACTAGTTAGATACGTTAGAATGATTCCATTAGGCGTTACAAAACAAACAATATTCACATACAATTAAGATTTTATAAAATAGTATAAATACTTTTTTGTATTTCATATTTAGTGTGACCTGCATATGTAGTGCCAATTGTATCGATTGTATAGTTTCAAACTCGACAAAATAATACATAACTTCCATTTTTATATAATTAATACATGACATTTTGTACTCATCCAGTAGTTGAGAATAATTTGTAATTATATAAGAAATCTCGTGACTTTCTTTACTCAAGTATGCAATTCCTGTACGTTAACTGTTTGTTGATATTATTTAAATGCATTCCAAAATATTTTGTTGCTCGCTGTTTTTATGTGAACTTTTATTATATACTTTTAATGTAAAAGAGCAACGAATGTGTACCAAATTGTCAAGATGACTATGTAGTGTTGTACCTAGATAGACGTAAGTTTTTTCTATTCGTTTTTTACCTTGAGTTATATGTAGTCCATTGTCCATCAAGTTTTTTTTTTACATTATTCTTACTATGTAGTGACAATCTGAAGAATATCTGAACACTAGAAGACTTATAAGTGTATGAATTTGTATTTCTTTTTTACCTGATTTTACTTAAAGTGTAAGTGAATTTATTCTCTCACTTTTGTATATAAATGATATATAATGTTATATATCATGTTTGCACGTCAAGTTATTTTGAAATTATAGTATCTCAAAAATAATCTTTATAACATTATGATGACAATTAAATTATTTTTTCATTAATTAAATATTATTGAAAACGATGGATGTTTTTGCATGATTCCATTAAAAATCATGACAATTGGATTAAACTTTAAAAATTTCGGCAAATCTTTATTTTTAATTGCATACTGTTTGGATTAAAGCAACATTGTAGGATAGATAGCATGATGTAATTATATTATTATTATGATCACGATTAGCATTATATGTAAATTTTAGATATAAGGAAATAATTAGAGCATGTTTTATATTATGTAGAGTATGTAAACGCATCTTTATTTTGCCATGTACTGGCAATCGCTGATTATTTATTTGCATTTTTTCTTAAATGTTTATATTTTTTTAAATTGAAACCTAAAGCAGAGTTGTTGTAACCGCTAAATGTAGTAGTCCAGTATGAATTATTTCATTTATTAATTTCAATGTGATACATAAAGGAAATCATAAGAATTGAAATTAGACGAACCATGTATGTAAAATGGTAATAATTTTAAGAAATATTTTTTGTAAAAATAATTTGATACATCATTATGTATGCAAATGAATTATTTCAACTATTATGCTACCTTAAAAATTTATTGTACTGAAACAATAGTATGATATATAAATATCAATTTTTTTATGTAACTTATTTTCAATAATGCAAACATACTATTTAAAAGTTTGTGCAGACGAGAGACATTAATACTTTATCTTAATTGAATTACATTGTTCATCGTAGTTGGCAGTAAGTCCCTGCCGGATATAACAGAAAGGTCTCTTGTTTGTGCAGGTCTTTATTGAAGCATTTTTATATTTCGAAATCACATTGTAATTATTAGAGGAACTAAAAAGCTCGTGTACCGGACTATAATGTCATTATGTCTAATAAGAGAATATTTTATAAATTGTTTATTTGCTAATACAATTTAAGTTAAAATTACTTGGATTGTTTTATTTTACTAAACCTTTTGTCTCTTACTAATGGATACCTTATCTGTTTATTTAGTCTCAGCTATATTGACTATGAAGAAATTTATAATGTTCATATATTACAAAATTTTAAAAGAAAATAAAAATTTCCTTTAATTCCCTGAGACTACATATATATATATATATATATATATATATATATATTAATATATATATATATATATATATATATATATATATATATATATATATATATATATATATATATATTTATTAATATATATTTTTTGCCAAATATCAAGTGATTTTTCTCTAAGTAGTTTTTTTGGTTTACCTATGTTGGAGGAAACTGATCATAAACAGGTTTCGTTTTCTTTTTTAAGGCCGCAGTCTTGGCAAGATCGTCAGCATGCTCATTGCTAGGTATTCCTGTATGAGCTTTCACCCAATAGAAGTGGACTTTTCCATCGCGTTCTAAGAGATTTTTGACTTTTTGCCAGATTTCTATCGCTAGTGGGTCTGGAGTCGCTCAAGATATTTCGGAGCCACTGACTTTGCCCTCTATCTTATTACCGTCTGTATAGAATCTCTGCTAGTTATTATCGATAACCTTGTCTAGTTCTGCTTGGTTGTTTATAATTGCAAAGAGATCAATTCTAATAAAAAACAAAAATTTTATGAATTTCAATACTAATAGTGTTGAAAAAGGGTCATGAAAATTGTAAAATGCAGTACCTGTTTGTGAGGTAGTTTAATTTATGGAAATATATCAGATTGAATTTTTCACCGGTATATAAACATATTTTTTTATATCAAACTAACATAAATCATAGATATATTATAAAAGTAAGCATTTCTGGAGTGCGCATTTGCAAATGATATTATATAGAAACTTTGAAACTAGGTGCAAAATTATTGTTTTTCTGATTTACAATAAGTATAGGATATGATTTTGACATTTCAACTACTTTTGGAAGTAGGACTGCATTTAGGTCTACGACAATTATATTTACCGATGACAATTAAAAAAAAAACAATTTTATTATTTTTCTAAATTTGCTAAACACGAATTATTATTTAACATCGGGGTTTTCTATATGAAATTAAAAAAAAAATAGTAACCAACCAAAACATAACATGTATAAGTACTGTGTTGGAAATATTTTAAAAAGCGTGTTCATATTGAAGTTTAGCAATGTTTATAATAACAGTGGAAACTGTAGAGCAAGAATACGTTGCATCTAAATATATCATTAAAATCTAAACCTATCAAATAAATATTCTTTTGTTAAATCCAAATTTTCAGTGACCGTTTAATAATTTACTACACGATTAACGTTTTAGTTCGTAGGCAGAGCACTTTTTATTTGCGATACTGGCTCATTTCATCAAGTTGAAGTTATAAGCGCTCTTAACAAAATTTGCTTATTAATGCTAAAATTTGCCTAAGATGTAGCCTAGTTCGTCTTGCATTTGCATTAGGGTGTATGTAGATGTGTGAGTTTTGGCGTTTTTTTTTTTTAATCCCTCATACTATATGTCTGTGCTCTTCATCCTCCTAGCGCCTCTATTAACCCCTTTAGTAATTCGAAACATTTTTTTTATTTTACATATAGAATTGATTATAATTTACTTATTTTAAACAACAAGTATAATTTAGTTTTTATATATTCGTAAGTACAAATATGTTCCTTATATGTTTCGAAATATACTGTGAAAAATAAACTATGACTGAATTATAAGGAATGTAAAAGTACTTACAAATTTCGCATGTTTGTACTTTCACTTTCAAAATATGTTTTTACTATAATCTAAGGTATTGTAATAAATTATTAACTGATTATTGTTTTAAAATATTACTAATTAATTATTATTAATATCATTTGAATCCTATAGAAAGCATAGTAAACATAGAAAAAAGCTTTAACATAGTAATTACGTACTCTGTGGGCATTAGTTTTCCAGAGTTTTTTCTAATTATGTATTTTAATTGTTCCGTTTTACGGTAGGTACTCTTGGTCATGATATCTTTATCTATGAAAACGTCGATCTTGTTTCATTTCCTACAAAATATAATGATTTGTAAGAAAAGTTTGAAACAATTTTGTATATTTCTTATAATTTAAAAAGTACCATAAATAAATAAATAAGTAAGTACAATAAATAAAGAAATTAGTAAAATTGATGGTGAACAGATTAATTTTTATTCCTGTTCTGTCAGGAAATAATTGAATCTACGACAAAACGGAACGTTACTTGTCGTCGTTTGTTTAATGAATATACTACTTGCATTTCGGAATATGATTAAAGTTTTCTTTTGCAATTTGCATTCATAAGTGTTACATATGTTGTGAAATAATAATACGATCAGTTTAATGTCTGAGTTTTATAATAGTGTAATAAATTCTAAAAATATTCATTAAATATTAAATAAAATTGCTTTCATTTTGGCGCCGCGTTCACTTTCATTTTTGAGTCGTTACGAAATTAACACAAAATGACTTCGGCCCTTTATTTGGAGCATTATCTCGACAGTTTACAACATTTACCAATAGAGTTGCAAAGGAATTTTAAATTGATGCGGGACCTTGATGACCGAGCGCATGGAATAATGAGGACAATTGATCTCATGGCCGACGAATTACTGCCAGAGATTCCTAAAATGGATGAAGAAACGAAGAAGGAGAAGGTAAATACCATTCAGGGTCTTTTTAACAAAGCCAAGGAATACGGGGATGATAAGGTCCAGCTTGCGATACAGACGTACGAGTTGGTGGACAAACACATACGGCGTTTAGATTCAGACCTCGTGCGCTTTGAGGCTGAGATTCAAGAGAAAGTGATGAGCGCCCGCGCTGCGCAGCAAGCAGCGGCTGACCAGGAGACAAATACGACTACTGTTAAAAAAGGAAGGAAAAAGCTTAAAGGTAACGAGAAAGCTGCAACGACGACCGGGAAAAAGAAACGTGCGGGAGCGTCTAGCGAAGATGATGCTGCCGCGGCAGGCAGACCTGCGGCCAAGAAGAAATCTCAGCGCAAGGGTGCAACTACCACCACTAACACAGCTAAGGAACAAGAAGAAAATGCAGATCTGGATTCAGTTGCTGGTATGGCGCATCCTAGTGATGTACTGGACATGCCTGTGGATCCTAATGAGCCCACATATTGCTTGTGTCACCAAGTGTCCTATGGTGAGATGATTGGTTGCGATAATCTTGACTGCCCAATTGAATGGTTTCACTTTGCATGTGTAGACCTTAAGATCAAACCTAAAGGTAAGTGGTATTGCCCTAAGTGCACCCAGGACAGAAAGAAAAAATGATCCACAGTGAAACCTTTGGTTAAACCAACTGATAAGACTGTAACAGTTAAAAAAGAAGTGAAATAATATCCTATTGTCTATTTAGTAGATAAGTGATAATGTAACACAATAAATTTACCAATTCTTATATATAACCTTTATCCTTTAGTTGTTTTTGCAATTATGAAAATATACACCTACATATTTCATTCATATTAATGCAATATATCAAATATGTAAGTCAGTATTATAAGTATTGAACAAAGAATTTATTGTGTTAAAATAACATGCAATTTTAATAATAACCGCATATATTTGTGATAGTTAATACAGATTCTAGTAAAGTTTAATGTATTATAAGTTTTTTGTATGTAAGTCTACTTTTCAACAAAGTGGCATAATTATGATTACTTAGGTACATATATTATCATTCATTCATATGTGAATATACATTAAAATTTTATATGTAAGTAACATGTCAAACTTATTTCCAATTTGGACAGACCAACAATGAAACACCAAATTCTTCAATCCGTACTGTCCCATTTTGTTTTCTGTATTTCTTTCCATTTATGTGTGTAATGACATTTATATTATTTTAAAGTATAGACTGTTGCAAGACGATTATTTGGTACAATGTGACTGTTCACTTATAGCATTGTTATTACAGTCTCATGCACACTGAAGTTATTTGTTAATGTAAAACCTAATGATATATATTTTTTTTCTTTTAAAATGTTTTTTAATTATGTAATTTCATAAATATACTCTGTGAATACAAAAAATACAATTTTTCTTTATTCATAAGAATTATATTTTAATTCTTATGTAATGAAATATTAGTGTTGTGTTAATCTCAGACATGTGTACAGATATATATACATATACATAAATACATGTTACTGTAATTTTTTTTTTAATAAACATCGTCATAATTTCAGCTGTTCACTGTCCACTGCTGAACATAAGCCTTCCTTATAAGGGGAGTTTTGCCAGTAGTTGCCATACTTGGTAGGCGGGTTGGCAACTGCAGTTAAGCTTTTAAAGATGTTTTAAGAAGGATGCTGTTGCTCATGCCTCTACCATTAAGTTCCTTTTCTCACCTCTGATGACATGACTCTCTTACAATATTCATGACATAGCCTATTCTATGTCGGGACCACATGGTAATTTTTTTTATATTCAACATAAAATCTTTGTTTAGAGCAACATGTCATGACACATTTGCACGGTTTGTGAGTTTCCAATTTTTGTTTCAGTATTTGTTCAATTGTCTAATACATATTTCTAAAAATGTTTGTATGTTTGATTTCTCATCATAGTCACTGTCATTAAAGATTGTTAATACATGCCATATTGAAACCAAGCAATATAAAATACGCATTTGTGACTACACTGTTTATAGGCAAAGTTGTTAATTTTGTGTTGTACTGATTCAGATTAAGCAGTTGACTGAGTAGTATGTATACTGTATCATGTTTTTATTTTATGAAGTTACTAGTCTTATGATTATTTTACTAATAAAAATTGGTTAAGTGTTTATAGACCAGTCAATATTTAGGTGTACATATGAGAAGTTCCCTCTTTAAGTTATTTTGAGTATTTGTAAAATATTTTCATATGACAATATTTAAATATAAATCGCCTAATCAACACGGGAGTTAATCTTATCTTTTATAAAAAGAATTAACAATATTGGTTTAGATATCACATAAGAAAATAACTGTTTCGAAAACCCCCTCAATCCAGAGTTGCTTAAAAACACCAGATGCCACCTTAAAAATGTTGAGTAGTAATTATTGTGATTCATACTGAATTATAAAAATTTGGTAAATAAGTGAGTAAAACCAATATATATATATATATATATATATATATATATATATATATATATATATATATAAATAATTATAATGTATTGTGTTATGAAATTGTATATTAAAATGGTTGTAACCCACAATAACATCTGCGCATACAGTTAGGAGTACTATATTACAGATATTTTCTGCATCATCAGTCACCAGAAACAATCAGTTTGGTTATAATTTAAGATGTATTTCATTCATCTTGCTAACTGCCATTCAATGTAGAAGAAGTACACATGTAAGATTGTTATAAAATGTATGACTTTATTAATATTACATTATAACCCATGACATAATATATTATGGTTACAAATTAGATTAAATAAAATATGCTATGAACTTAAATTTAGGAAATAATATCATTATATTGTTAAGAGATTTTTATATGAATAGTATTAAAAAGTTAATTCCTATTCTTTGTTTATATTAACAAAAGTAAAATGCAAAGTGACATACTTAATATATTATCAAATGTTAGGTAAGATAGTTGCTTTTTTATTCTAAAGATTGATATATTGAAGTGATATAAATATAGATACATAACAAATTACTGTCTGTTCTAGTAATTAGACAAGTTTTTATATGATAAATTAAGTCTCCCATATTAATATACAAAAACCCAAGATTCAAGTTTTCATTAAAAATAAAATACATTGAAAACTGCCTCAAATTAAGTGAATTCCGTAAAAGTCATGAGTCGAATAGAATTCTTACATTAAATATGTTAAATTTTTACAATTTTAAGAATGTTTCGACACATTTGACTAAAAACATTATTGAATGGTCAGAAATGAGAGCAAACTATGGTTGAGTGCACTCTATTTTCAATGTTTTTAGTTTCTGATTGTGGGTCTGTGGGTCTAAGGGTTTTAAAGGTATATTAATGGTATGGTACATCTATTGCTGGTCCTTAAACTAGGATACCCAGTATAGGTTAGTTTTAATGCTGTACCTTGGTCTATTTTTTTAACGGGTAATTTTTTTTATAATATAATGACAACCCCGCTTGTGTTATCGGTTTAAGGTAGCGGTGCACCGGTGCGGGATGATAGATGAGAATAAAAGCAGGTCAGTTAGACCATCTGACGAATTTCATAAGAATTAACCACGATAATTTGTTGGCGGAATCGCTTGGCGGTCGACCTGGTAGGGTCCAATATAGGCCCCCATATTGCTAGCAATAGGGATGTTAGACCCCTATTGCTAACAATCATCGTTTTCCTTGAAGATTTGCTTATTCGTGTAATTGATAAGATATTAAAAAGAAATCAAGATTTCATAATAATTTTCGACTATTTATTTGAAAGAACAAATGTAAAAATTTTTAATTTAAGAAATTTGTCCTGTCTCATGATAGATTGTTTGACTGTAATATTGAAAATATGTATAGCCAGCATAGACGTAAAATAACTTACGACGTATTGAGTATCCAATGTGTTGTAAATTTTAATAATAGGTATAACTATCTAATGCAAAGGACAAATTAAACAACTGTAATTTTTATATTAGTCGAATTCTTTGACACGATTTGTTTATGTTTAATAAAAAAAAATATAGTCATAGGTAAATGTTTTATTTTTAAATCCTTGTCCTCATCTATGGAAAATGATAATACTTTATATACGAGTAGTAATAATTTTTTTTCTATGTTTACTTGCAACAAAAGTAATGGATTTACTTAACTCTGTCATATTTTAGAGTCCAGTCAATACATATTAATATTTATCTATAATAATAAGAATTATCTAGGTAAGAAAGAAAGAAAGAAAGAGAACATTTATTGCCAACAACAAAAAAGTTACATAAATTATCAATAGAGAGAAAAAAGGTAATTTTTGCTATTTTTATCTATTCATTTGTATTTGCATCAAATTAAACTTTTCTATTCTTTTTATTATATTTATAATTTATTATGATAAGACTTTGTACAAAAGTCGATTGCTTGGGTACCTCTGTCCCATTCGTGTTTCTACCGTGAAGCAGTTGTGTTTGCATGGCTGTGTTTCGGTTTAAAGGGTGGGGTATGGCGTGAATTTACAGGATACAGAGGAATAACATCTGAGTCCTCAGGAATGGCGACGCATGGGGGTATCATGGGCGAAACAGTATACTCTGTTATGTCCATGGTACTGCTCATGTCTATAGCCGACGGTTACCACTTTCCATCAGGTGGGCCGTTAGCTTGTTTGCCATTCTAAGTTGTATAAAAAAATAAGCACATTCCTTTTTAAAAGGCCGTCAGCACACCTGCAATTTCTCTGGAGTTGCGAGTGCTCATGGGCGGCGATTGTCACTTACTATCAGGTGAGTTGCATGCTATGACCTATTGACCCTCTGTGTTATATAAAAAAATCAGGAAAAATGTTGAATCTAAAATTCGGCTTATGTTTTATTTTGACATGCCATCTAAAAGTCGTGTATTTGTATGGGTTTTTCTTACATGACAAATTGGGAAAAATACACAGATCTTACTTTTTTTTTATATAACTTAGAATGGCAAACAAGCTAACGGCCCACCTGATGGAAAGTGGTAACCGTCGTCTATAGACATGAGCAGTACCATGGACATAATATATTGTTTCGCCCATGATACCCCCCATGCGTTGCCATTCCTAATTGATATTCTTATTTTTTTTTTGTTAAATGATTAAACAGAGGGTCAAGAAGAGATAGATTATTTTTTTTAACATAGACATTCCCATACGACAAATATATTCAAATTTACAAACCTCTAAAATCCACGTTTACGAATTCGTGGACAGTAGTTAGTAAATAATAATAGTGCGTAAATTCCAGTGTTTATGTTTTGGTTAGTAGATAACGGTTATAGTATGATATCGTCGTACCTCAAGATCGTAGGTTTAAAAGTTAATATGATTAGATCGTAATGCGTGGTAGGGTTGTGATTAATAATTTATATATTATATATAGAATCTAAGTATTATTTATATAAATTATATAGATACATGATGACGATATAAATAAAGACTGGAAATAATAGGTATTTTTAGTTTTACAGATGTCTAAAATCCTTATTAATATTATGCTCGTAATTGTGAAAGTAGGTATTTTTTTTTTAATGGATAATGAAATGGCATCCCCGCCTGCGCTATCGATATACACTGGCGGGCCACCAGAGAGCTTTTGACCATTACTGACAATTCCTTCCTCCCCCTCAAGCTAGGGTACCCTGTATTAAGAGGAATCAGGCAACGAGTATCAGGTATCACAAAGTAGGATTTCTGTTCCTAAAATTGTACACTCGACAGCTCATTTACGCAAAGCAACTTACCCACCAGTGTGCCTCTGATGTGGTTATATACGTACGCTAATATTGATAAAAACGACAAACTTCTTATAAACGTATTTTATTTATTGAAATAGGTATACTGTTATTTTCTCTTACGCTATTGTTTTGTTTTTTGTTTTTTTTTCTTCCTATCAATAGGGAAGGCAAAAGTACTAAGCCTATACAGCCGATGGCATTAGTTAATTTAAGTATTATTTTTTCCGTTTTGGTATATCAAAGTTTTTCAAATGTTGAAATTACGTATTCATATATGGATTTATATGATTTTTTGTTTTTTATGAAACTCTTTTTCAATTTGAAAGAGTGACAATACACTTCAATAACTAAAATAGGTTTGTATGATGATTTAGTTTTTATGAATAGGGGCGGGGGAGGGGGGGGTAATATTTAACGAGGAGATTGTTAAGAATCACTGTATTGCTAGCAATATATACGTATACCCTGTCAAGTCAAACACCATGTTTAGCTTACCTTTCGTTTGTATTATTTAATGACTGGTTTATATAGATGTTTCTTAGTGCTAAATTGAATTGAAAAGTATTAATTTTTTAGTGGATAATAAAAAGGGACTATATCAGTGTGTAAGTGTATTAAGTCAAAAGTTATTAGGTGTTATTACCAATAAGCTTTAATATAAAATACAACGACATAAATAGAGAGCAATTATGTTAACTGCGGTCGAGTAAATCGCTGCGCGCGGTAGGTCATATATAATTAGGTATTTCACTGTAAAAAGTGTGGCCAAGTACCCTAACTTGCTGGTCGGGAACTCGTCTGAGTGCGAAAACTTTGTTATTGCATCAGACATTCGGACATGATCACTGTGCGCACACGTTTGCGTCAGATATGTGAACGTATGAAAGCTTAGATAAAGCTCTCGATCACGTAATTAGGTATCTTCCAAATTATCTTACTAATATAATTATATTATAATTAATTAGATGGTGTTTGTATATGATGTTTGAGAAAAAAATATATGAATGGTCTTAATAAGAGCAATGTTTGTCTGTAAGTTTGTTCCGACATCACGCAAAAACTACCGTATCAAATTTTGTGCGGTTTTCTCAGTTACATTTCTGCAGGTCTAACCGTAACGGCCTAATATTTAATAAATAAATATTTTTTTTTTATACAACTTAGAATGGCAAACAAGTTGACGGCCCACCTGATGGAAAATGGTAACTGTCGCCTATAGACATGAGCAGTACCATAACAGAGTATACTGTTTCGCTCATGGTACCCCCCATGCGTTGCCATTCCTGAGGACTCAGGTGTTATTGCTCTGTCCCCTGTAAATTCACTATCATATCCCACCCTACAAACCGAAACACAGCCATGCAAACAGCTGCTTCACGGTTGAAACACGAATGGGACAGAGGTACCCAAGCAATCGACTTTTGTACAAAGTCTCCCTCTGGTAAAAATCTGGTATATATTTCATTTTATATAATATCTATGTATCTATTTTCAAAAATGAAGTATTATTATTATGTATATAAGAGGTTGCTGAGTAACTGACTGACATATATATCATGCACAAAGCACAACGGTCAACGGAAACTCTTGAACCTAGAATCTTGAAATTTTGCAGATAGGTTCTTTATATATATATATATATATGTATATATAGGATGTAAAACCGGGGTTGTAAGCTTGTATGGAATTTTGTCAATTTAAAAGCCATATGTGTGTGAAATTTAAGATTTATGGAAATGAAATTTAGTATTTTACGATTTGCGAGTGAAGTCGCGGCCAAAAGCTAGTTTGTAAATTAATTTTAATGATGTGTTAGTGTCTTTGTGTTGAACATATTGAGTTTTATGGCTTGGTGACATTTTTATGTGTGGTAGATATAGTTTAATGTTCTAATTAGTAAATGTAATAGATAGGTATGTCATAAGAATTTGTAACAAAATGCATTATCCTTATCATAACCCAATTGGTGCGAGACTGGCTAGCAATAAATCGTGACCAGATTAAAAAACAATCATCTTAATCGGTAGAGAATATAGTGTCATTAAGAGCCTTCTCCTTTCTGAGTCTCTTGACCACCATTTTATCAACGAGTAGGATATGAGTAATAAATCTAGTATATTAACATTAAATTTGCAGAAGGAAATTAGTAATTAGAAATAGGGGCCCCATAGCTAGTAATATTCTAGAAATCATTATGGTTTTTCCTGGGGAATTTGTCACAATTGCCCAACTGATCTCATCTTTATCTATCATCAGTCACTGGTATCCTACCAGTGTATGATCGATAGTAGAAGCAGTTTAGAGAACTTCATTACTTAAATTGACTTGCTCGAGAATCGTACTTAGGACCTCATTCACATGAAGCGATGTCAGTTTAAACAATAATAAGTTGATGTATACCTACTTATATGTTTATTTATTTTAAAAAACCTTTTATATTGACCATGTGTAAGATGCATTGTTTAATTTTTCATAGTTTATCAATAAAAAGAACACATTGAAGGTCACGTCGACGCCACATTGAACTTGTTTATAATTCCCTATTAGATAAAATTGTTTTGGTTTCCAATGTGATCACGTTTGATAAGTAATGTTTTATTGAATTGGATTATACTAGTTGTTTAAATATCAATCAATCAAATATAAAAAAAAAAACCATTATTCTCCTAACTAGTTTGAGTGAGAAATCTCCAAATTTATTTAAGTTTTATCTTGGAGCATTAACTCTTGAATTATATAGCTAATTGCCATGACATTTATTTGTATGCCC